TCCTCCTCTATCTTGGCCTTCCTCTCTTTCTCCTCCTCCCGCCTTGCGGTGTGCCACTCCTTCTTCCTCATCCTCTACCCAGCCTATAAGGCAACCCCCAACTTTGGAGAAGATTTTCCTGGGTTAAAAAGTAGTCATATGCCAGAAAATACTGTATGTAAGAGTGGGAGGAGGAGAGAGAAACTGGGACATTTTAAAAGCATCTGAAAAAGTGGGAAGAAAGGGCATTTTCCTTATCCAGGTGCACTTTATAGAGTCATGACTGATACTATAATGCAGGGTCTAGAAGAGATAATGGCTCTCATATATTACCTGCCCTAATGCTCTTTGCTCCCAACACAAATCCCCTTATGTCATGTACTAGCTTAGAGCATTTGCATACCCTGAAGAGAAAACTCCCCTCGGGGGGATGCAGACAGGCGGCCCTAGGCCGCCCCCGGAAGCGGAGGATTGAGGTCGAGGCTGCCAGACACCTCAGCCCCAATCCTTCATTTTGCTGCCTGTGAAAGGAGCGCTAAAATAGCGTCCTTCCGCAAGCCACGAAAGGGGCACTGCAAGAGGCGTGGTGCACCCCTTTGGCATCTCTTCTGGCTCAGTGTGTCTGGACGCTGAGCTGGAAGGACGTCATCGGAGTGCCCGTCATGCGGATGGGCTGTTGCTCTGATGATGTCCTCAGGAAGGGGGTGGGGGTCCCAGCTGCCCCTCCCCTTCCTGGGATTGAGGATGGCGTTTTTCGCTGTCTGTATCCCCCTTTATTTAGGGCCTGAATAAACTGCCAGAAATAATCCAGCTTGAGACCACTTTAACTGTCCTGGCTCAATGCTAAGGAATCATAGGAACTGTAGTTTATAGTGACACCAGAGCTCTTTGACAGAGAAGGCTCAATGTCTCAGAAAAAACTACAATTCCCATGATTCGCTAGCACTGAGCCAGGACAGTTAATGTGGTCTCAAGTTGGATTATTTCTGGCAGTCTGTACAGGCCCTTCTGTGTCATGTGTGGATGTTTCTATGCAAGCCAAAAAGCCATTTGCCCCTGAAAATCAAATGCTTGTTTTGCACTGTACATTCACATTGCATCATGATTGGAGCAAAATGTAATATAGGCCTCATATATGTCTGAGCGCCAAATGAGATACAGTACTAGGATGGAAAAAATCCATTCTTTCAACAGCTAGAGAAAATTGCCAAAGGCACAGAGTGGACCTAAGAAAGACAAGAGGGAGCACATTCCTAATCTATGTATGAAAGCTACCTGCCCTGCAGCAGTTGTGTACTTCTTTTCTGCAATCAGTCAAGTAATCAATGTGCAAAACAATTTCTGGCCAAAATTATCTGCAGTTGGAATGAAGCAATATTTAGAAGAAATATATTCCCAGGAGGCTGGAGGACAAAGGTTCTTTAGCAGCACAAGCAGCTGAGTTCTAGGAGGGAAATAGGGTGGGGAAGAGTGGTGTTCAAGTTTGAATGTTGGACTATGATTCTGGAGAACAGGGTTCGAATCATTGTTCAGTCATGAAACCTGCTGGGTGACCCTGGGGAAATCACATTCTCTCCTCCTGAGAGGATGGCAATGGCAAACCCCTTCTGAAGAAACTTGTCAAGAAAACTCCATGATAGGTTCTCCTTAGGGTCACCATAAGTTGGAAACAACTTGAAGGCACACAACAACAAAGAGTGGGAAGAGGAAGAAGAGAGGCAGAAGAGACTAGAGGAAGGGGTTTGACCATAAGCTTTATTCAGGGCTTCAGCTTCCGGAAATAATAAACATCCAAGGAGGGGGAGCATACTAGATCTGCTCCTTTGTTACTGCTCTCTGGTGGAATGAGCCTCCTCTGTCCATGGAGATTCTCCATTATTGGGAAGGGATGTTGCAAATTAGCTACTGTTATAACAAGCCACATGAACCAATGCAAGACCTATCTTGTTCTGGAACTGGGTGTGGTTCCAGGCCTTCCGAAGAGTTCTTTTGGTGCCAAACACTGACAAGTGTTGCTGGTATAGCGTAAGCTTTATTGGTGGTAAATGATGCAGAAGGTAATACTCAGTAAGGAAGCATTGCAGCCTTTTCACTGAGAGGTTCCAGCACCCCCACAGCCAATGGCAGAATTGG